CTCAATGACTGTAAAAGTCTTTCATAAGGAAAATGAAATGACATTAGAGCTCAGCAGAGCTATGCTAACACGCGCTAACACACGCTAACACACTAATCCACTAAAACACATCTAAACATGGAGGGATACATACAGATTTAGACACACACACACCAGTCTATCTGCACCTTTGCGCGTGAGTGTGTGTGTGTGTGTGTGAGAAGAGAAAAATCCACTCACTCTTATCAGATTGGCTCACAGAACGAGAGCAATGGAGTGAAAGATGCCGCTCGGAGTGTAATCGAGCAGTGACACACACACACACACACACTCACGGGGGTTTCTCTCGTTTACTGCCGTCTGTTAGACGAAGCCTTTGCATTCTGATGAGACGAGCTGCGAGTGTTTCATCTGGAGGAACTTCATGGACCGTCTCAGAGCGCAACCCTTTAAATAACACACATCATCTGATCGTTCCCTCCTGAAGCTGCTGACACACACACATACACACACGTTCAGCAGTGATACACACATCAGCAGTGATACACACTTCATAGCGTTTCTCCTCACTTATTTACAACAGGGAATTATATCATTTACTCGAACTCGTGTTCTAAACCCATCAACCAATCTATCATCCATCCTTTCATCTATCCATCAGTCTATTCATCCTTTCATATCTATCTATCCATCCATATATCCCTCCATTCATCCATTCTTATATCCATCTGTCCATCTATCAATCTATCCATCCATATATCCATCCATCCATCCATCCATATATCCATCCATCCATCCATCCATATATCCCTCCATTCATCCATTCTTATATCCATCTGTCCATCTATCAATCTATCGATCCATCCATCCATCCATCCATATATCCCTCCATTCATCGGTTCTTATATCCATCTGTCCATCTATCACTCTATCCATCCATCCATCCTTTCATATATCAGTTCATCCATCCATATTTCCATCCATCCATATATCCCTCCATTTATCCATTCTTATATCCATCTGTCCATCTATCAATCTATCCATCCATCCATATATCCTTTCATCCATCCATCCATATATCCCTCCATTCATCGGTTCTTATATCCATCCGTCCATCTATCACTCTATCCATCCATCCATCCATCCTTTCATATATCCATTCATCTATCCATCAGTCTATTCATCCTTTCATATCTATCCATCCATCCATCCATATATCCCTCCATTCATCCATTCTTATATCCATCTGTCCATCTATCAATCTATCCATCCATCTATCCATCCATCCTTTCATCCATCCATCCATATATCCCTCCATTCATCGGTTCTTATATCCATCCGTCCATCTATCACTCCATCCATCCTTTCATATATCCATGCATCCATCCATACATACATTCATCCATATATCCATCCATCCATACATACATTCATCCATATATCCATCCATCCATCGATCCATCAATTCATTCGTTCATTCATTCAAAATATTTGGGCTCTGAATTCACACATAAAATTGTGTGAATTTCATTGCATTAGATACAAACAATAGAGAGCCTAAGTCGCTCCCCTTCCGGTCGACCACCATGGAACCTTATTTCGGAAAAATATTGAATGGTAGTCAATGGCGAGAGACAACAAATATTTTGATCTCGTTTGAATTGTGCCCTGAATTACACATATGATGTTTGTCAATTTAAAAGAAATATTTTAAAGTAAAGAAAGTCGCCGTTTGATGTGAAACCGTTGAGGTATAAGGCTGTGAAAATACGTAATTACAAAGACTACAAACCCCAAAGGCGCACATTTTCTCCCAATGACTGAAGCTAACTTTACTGAGGCTAATGTCTGTCATTGTTTCTATAGTCTTACGTTATAATCGTAACGTTACGCCGTCAAACCTGAGTGTTTTGTACCAGACTGTACACACACGAGCAGCGAATCTTGCTCGTTGTTTCGCCTCCTGGGAGATGTAGTTCACAGAGCGATTTTCACATAAAACTAAAAGTTACTCTTCTCTTTTATGACAAACTGCGACGTTTTTGACTTTCAGAACTATCTTTTAAATTGACAAACATTATATGTGTAATTCAGGGCACAGTTCAGACGGAATAAAAAGATTAGTTGTCTCTCGCCATTGATTACCAAACATATTTTTTTCCGAAATAAGGTCCCATGAGCCGGAAGCGGAGGGGCGGGACTTAGGCTCTATGTCAAACCAAATGGCATCCGCATAAAATGATGCTATATACTGTAAAAAAACAAAACAAATAGTTTGATCAGTAAGTCATGGCAGCTTATGTTTTTACTTAAAACTTAAATGCAATTATACATAATACACGTGTGTATAAATATATACTGTTATTAAACTATTATAATTATTGTTTTATGATACTCTTAGAAAGCTTTAATAGTAAAGATCAGCGTCTGCAGTCTCCATATGTGTTGTGTGTTTATTGAGGTTTGTGTGTTGAGAAGTACATGTGCTGATGGAAGCCTTCGTGGCGCCAGATTCTTCCTCATCCTTTGTTGTTTGCAACCCAAACCTTCCCATGAGCCTCTAGTGATGAGTCTGAGGTAATGAGCTGAGAGAGTATCCGGCCCGGCCTCGCTCTGGCATCAGTCGCTCCGCTGCCACGATCAGTTTGTGTGTTGGCACTGCTAATGGAAATGTAGACGCCAAATATCTTTTCAAATGACTTTGACGAATGAACCAAAGCATCGCTCGCACTGACATGACTCTTATTCGAGGACCTTCACGCTCACAGAGCAGAGGTTTATACTATCAGGAGTTCCTTCCATGGAATAATTCACCATCAATTCTGTCATTGTTTATTCACCCGTAAGTTGTTTTTCAGTGCAACAAAAGAAAATTGTTGAGCTAACTTAAAAATAAGGCTACTAACCGCATTTTTAAGTTAACTCAACTAATCCACTCCAGTTAAAATCTACTTAAATACGTGAAATCTTTTGAACTTAAAAGTTATTGTCAAAAAAAGGTTGAAAAAAATGTAAGTTAACTTAAAAACTTGAGTCTAATTGGTTGACTTTTTTTAAGTTAGCTATCTTGACAAAGTTTTAAGTTTAAATTTTTAAGTTTAAAAGATTACCTGATACTCATTAGATGAAGAAACATATTTAAAGAATAGTTGAGTTAACTTAAAAAGTTGAATACGATAGGTTACCTTATTCTTTTTTAAGTTAGCTCAACTATTAATTTTTTGTTATCTTGACAAGACGTTTTAAGTTCAAAAGATTACACTCATTAGATGAACAAAAGTATATAAGTTGATTTTGACTGTTAAGTTAAAAAGTTGAATGCGATAGGTTGCCTTATTTTTTTAACAATTTTAACAATTTTAAAGCAACCTATTGCACTCAACTTTTTAAGTTAACTCAACTATTCCACTCTAGTTAAAATATACTTAAATATGTTTGTTCATCTAATGAGTAGCAGGTAATCTTTTAAACTTAAAACTTTTTGTCAAGATAACTAAAAAGAGGGGGGGGGGGTTGGGGTGGCCATTTAAAAAAAATGAGTGATAGGTTGCCTTATTTTTTAAGTTTGCTCAACTATTCTTTTTTTGTTATCTTGACGAAGTTTTAAGTTGAACAGATTACCCTCATTAGATGAACAAAAGTATTTAAGTTGATTTTAACTAGAGTGTTAAATGTGTTAGGTTACCTTATTCTTTTTAAGTTAGCTCAACTATTAATTTTTTGTTATCTTGACAAGACGTTTTAAGTTCAAAAGACTACACTCATTAGATGAACAAAAATATATAAGTTGAGTTTTGACTGTTAAATTAAAGTTGAATGCAATAGGCAATTTTTATGCAATTTTTAAGTTAGCTCAACTATTAATTTTTTGTTATCTTGACAAGACGTTTTAAGTTCAAATGACTACACTCATTAGATGAACAAAAGTATATAAGGTGAGTTTTGACTGTTAAATTAAAGTTGAATGCAATAGGTTGCCTTATTTTTTTAAGTTAGCTCAACAATGTTAAGGCAACCAATCGCACTCAACTTTTTAAGTTAACTCAACTAATCCACTCCAGTTAAAATCTACTTAAATATGTTTGTTCATCTAATGAGTACCAGGTAATCTTTTAAACTTAAAACTTCTTGTCAAGATAACTAAAAAAAAAGGGGGGGGGGGTGGCCATTTAAAAAAAAATAAGTGATAGGTTGCATTTTTTTTTAAGTTTGTTCAACTATTCTTCTTTTTGTTATCTTGACGAAGTTTTAAGTTGAACAGATTACCCTCATTATGAACAATAGTATTTAAGTTTATTTTAACTGGAGTGTTAAATGTGTTAGGTTACCTTATTCTTTTTAAGTTAGCTCAACTATTAATTTTGTTATCTTGACAAGACGTTTTAAGTTCAAAAGACACTCATTAGATGAACAAAATTATATAAGTTGAGTTTTGACTGTTAAATTAAAGTTGAATGCAATAGTTAGCTCAACAATTTTAAGACAACCAATCGCATTCAACTGTTTAATTTAACTCAACTAATCCACAGTTAAAATCTACTTAAATACATTTGTTCGTCTAATAAGTACCAGGTAATCTTTTAAACTTAAAACTTCTTGTCAAGGTAACCAAAACAATAATAAAAAAAATAAAAGGTTGAGCCAACTTGAAAAAAATTAAAAATGTAAGTTTACTTAAAAAGTTGAGTGTCATAGGTTGCCTTATTTTTTTAAGTTTGCTCAACTATACTATTAAGTTTTAAGAGTATCCTCATTAAATGGACAAAAGTACATGATTTTTACTTGAGTGGGTTAGTTGAGTTAAATTAAAAAGTTGAATATGATAGGTTACCTTATTCTTTTTAAGTTAGCTCAACTATTATTTTTTTTTAAATGTTTTAAACTAAAAATGCAAGTTAACTTAAAAAGTTGAGTGTAATAGGTTGACTATTTTTTTTAAGTAAGCTCAACTATTACTTTTTTCTGTTATCTTGACGAAGTTTTAAGTTGAAAAGATTATCCTCATTAGATGAAGAAAAGTATTTAAGTTAATTTTAACTGGAGTGGATTAGTTGAGTTAACTTAAAAAGTTGAATGCGATAGGTTACCTTATTCTTTTTAAGTTAGCTCAACCACCAAGTGCTTTAAAGCTCGGAAAACAACATATAAATGAGTACATGATGACATAATCTTTATTTTTTGCAGATCTCTTCCTTTAATCTCTCGTATAGTCCTGTAACTCCAGTCAGATCCGCTCTGAAGTGTGTTAATGAGTGTAGATGAGCTCTCGCGTTGTTGCTCGGCACGGTACGCAGATAATGAAGCACTCGCGGTTGATCTGATTAATCTACGTCTCTTCCCCGGCGTGTGGATTATTCTCTCTAACTCCTTTACACGACTGGAAGCATTAACAGACATCAAGCGGGTTATGAGTCCTTCAGCAGTGGAGGAACTGTCCTGCCAGTAATTCAATTTATTTCAAATATTTACGTTCTTGTTGAACAGATGCACAAAAAAACAATTATATTTTGTCTTTTCATTGTGTGATTCATTGATATGTCAGTGTCAGGACAAAGTAACCAAGTGCTTGTATACAGACAACATATTTATGAAGAATCAAACCATGTTGATGTCAAAGTTTTGTAAATGTACAGTATAAATGCAGCAAACTTGCAGATCTAACTATGTGACTTCAGGAGATTTTCCAAGCATAGACTTGCAAAAATCTTTAAACATTATAAAGTGATGTATGTGGTGGACAATAAAATGGGGAAATGGTTAAGAGTACTTTTTTGTGCTTTAAAATTGGTCAAAATAAAAGAGAAATATGGCCAACATAAAAATGGGTAAAATTAAGAAGAAAAAAATTGGAAAAATTTGCCTTTTGGTCAACAAAATTAGTAAAATAAAATAAAAATGAATTTGCTGACCAATAAATTGGTAAAAAAAAATTGTTTGCCAATATTTATTTATTTTTTTTTTTTTTAAAGACAAAAATAATGTGGTGGACAATAAATTGAAAATCAATATCATTTTTTATATAAACAATGTAAAAAAGCTTTTGGTGAGCAATAAAATTGGTTAAAATTAGAAAAACCGAAAGAAAAATTATATTTTGGTGGGCAATTAAATAAATAAACAAACAAGAAAAACTGAAGAAAAAAAAATACTTTTTGGAGGTCAATAAAATGGGTTTTATATATATAATGTATATTTGGTGGCCAATAAAATGGATAAAGTACGCTTATATTGTATTACAAAATGTGTGAAAAAAAATTTACTCACATTGAAGGATGGACACAAACCCATATCTAGAGATCACAGAGACTTTATGGAGCGACTGAATACCCTAGCAACACCCTAGCAACAAGACTACTTGAGTTTTGCATGTGCAAACACCACTCAGCTTGTCTTTAAGTGTGTAGTTGTGTCACAGAGACACATCCAGCTCATAAGGCTCTCGTGTGTGTGTGTGTGTGCAGTGGCGGGTTTCCCGTATCCCGCGGCAGGAGCGACGGTGGCGTACAGAGGGGCTCATCTGAGGGGCAGAGGTCGTGCCGTTTACAACACCTTCCGTTCGGCTCCTCCTCCTCAGCCCATCCCGGCATACGGAGCGTGAGTCATATTCATGTTCTGAGTCAAGTGTGTTTCATAATTGATGAACTCTAGCAACACTGAAAATGATATTAAACCGAATCGAATCAACACTGAATTGAGCTGAATCACGACTCTATTCGTTTCAATACTAAATAACATCACAGCTATTGAACTAAACTGAATAATGACACACCATTTTCTTCTGCAGAGCTGCTGTGCAGATGAAATGATACAAGTTTCATAATTGATGAACTTTACACTGTTATTGAAGCGAACTAAATCAAATTGAGCCCAATAATGACGCCGTCTCCTTCTGTAGAGCTGCCGTGCAGATGAAATTATATTCGTTTCCTAATTGAATAACTTGAATATTCCATTATTTTCTTTTTCATGAGCGTCCGTATTGCATAAAGAGTGTGTGAGTGTTTACTCATCCGCAACAGAATCCTCTTCATTTGGAGGCTTTTCACAGCAAATATTGATCCGAGCGACACTAATCAAATGAATTACTCCGGATGCCGTATAATTAATGCAATTGACGGCTCTATTTGTACGTTCCTCTGTTCTGCACTGCATGTGCTCTCATACTTCATCTCTCTGCACCAAACTGATTTATTTCTGCGAGTCATGTGACTGTATTCTGCACCACCCCACCCCCCCGCTCCTGACGCAGCAGTCCTCATGCTCATTGGTGATAACCGGACGTTGTCTCGTTTGTTGAACGCAGGGTGGTGTATCAGGACGGGTTCTACGGCGCCGAGATCTACGTGAGTATCTCTGGAGGGATGAGAGTGTGTGATTCCTGGCGTCGGTTAACCGTGAAACCAGATCACCGAACTCTAGATCCACTTCAGTCACCACACACACTCAGAGTTTGGCAAAGATGCTGCAGTCACACATCACTCACATACACACACTCTCAAACACACATTTATACACATATTTACTTATCTATCTAAATGGGGAATTTCCATGGACTTAATGGTTTTAATACAGTATTAAACCCTACCCCTAACCCATCACACTAAACTTTTTCACACTAAAACCTTGAATTACTTTCTTTACAAATGAGGACATCCTCAAGTTGGACACCTTGTCAAGTTTTGGTCACTTCTGGGTACAAGTCGGTACACTCGCAAACACACACACACACAGACTCTGTCTCACATTCTCACACACAAAATCCTCTATATGACCACATAACAAATTAATATATCACTCTTACACACTCAAAGACACATGCATATTCACACAAGGTGCTAATATGTACATTTTAGGTGTTAATATGTACATTTTAGGTGCTAATATGTACATTTTAAGTGTTAATATGTACATTTTAGGTGCTAATATGTACATTTTAGGTGTTAATATGTACATTTTACGTGCTAATATGTACATTTTAAGTGCTAATATGTAAATTTTAGGTGCTAATATGTACATTTTAAGTGTTAATTTGTACATTTTAGGTGTTAATATGTACATTTTAGGTGCTAATATGTACATTTTAGGTGCTAATATGTACATTTTAGTTGTTAATATGTACATTTTAAGTGCTAATATGTACATTTTAGGTGTTAATTTGTACATTTTAAGTGCTAATATGTACATTTTAGGTGCTAATATGCCCATTTCATGAGCTAATGTGTCCATTTTAGGTGGTAATATGTCCATTTTAGGTGGTAATATGTCCATTTTAGGTGCTAATATGTACATTTTAGGTGCTAATATGTACATTTTAGGTGCTAATATGTACATTTTAGGTGTTAATATGTACATTTTAGGTGCTAATATGTACATTTTAGGTGCTAATATGTACATTTTAGGTGCTAATATGTACATTTTAAGTGTTCATATGTACATTTTAGGTGTTAATATGTACATTTTAGGTGTTAATATGTACATTTTAAGTGCTAATATGTACATTTTAGGTGTTAATTTATACATTTTAAGTGCTAATATGTACATTTTAGGTGCTAATATGTACATTTTAAGTGTTAATATGTACATTTTAGGTGCTAATATGTACATTTTAAGTGTTAATATGTACATTTCATGAGCTATGTCCATTTTAGGTGTAAATATGTTCATTTTAGGTGTTATGTACATTTTAGGTACTAATATGTACATTTTAGGTGCTAATATGTACATTTTAGGTGCTAATATGTACATTTTAAGTGCTAATATGTACATTTTAGGTGCTAATATGTACATGTTAGGTGTTAATATGTACATTTTAGGTGTTAATATGTACATTTTAAGTGTTAATATGTACATTTTAGGTGTTAATATGTACATTTTAGGTGTTAATTTGTACATTTTAAGTGCTAATATGTACATTTTAGGTGCTAATATGTACATTTTAAGTGTTAATATGTACATTTTAGGTGCTAATATGTACATTTTAAGTGTTAATATGTACATTTTAGGTGTTAATATGTACATTTTAGGTGCTAATATGTCCATTTCATGAGCTATGTCCATTTTAGGTGTTAATATGTACATTTTAAGTGTTAATATGTACATTTTAGGTGTTAATATGTACATTTTAAGTGTTAATATGTACATTTTAAGTGTTAATATGTACATTTTAGGTGTTAATATGTACATTTTAAGTGTTAATATGTACATTTTAGGTGTTAATATGTACATTTTAGGTGTTAATGTGTACATTTTAAGTGCTAATATGTACATTTTAGGTGCTAATGTGTACATTTTTAGGTGTTAATATGTACATTTTAGGTGCTAATATGTACATTTTAAGTGTTAATATGTACATTTTAGGTGCTAATATGTACATTTTAGGTGCTAATATGTCCATTTCATGAGCTATGTCCATTTTAGGTGTAAATATGTTCATTTTAGGTGTTAAGTACATTTAGGTACTAATATGTACATTTTAGGTGCTAATATGTACCACTAAGGTACTAATATGCAGTCTTTGGGTACAAAAGTGTATCTTTTGAAAAGGTACAGCCCCAGTGACAGCTTTTGTACCTTTTTTTTTGAGAGTGTACACACACTCACTCACTCAATCCTCAATAGGACCACATAACAAATTAATAACTGTGGTAATGTTAAAGGTTCAGGGAAGGAGTAGGCAGGAGCCATCAAACGTATAATCATAAAATAATCACGAAACGAAAGTAAAGCATCAGCCCGTCACAGACGACTGCCACACAAACACCAACACAACAGAAAGTCCTGGCCTTGTCCTCTCTCCTCCTTCACTGTCCTCATTCCTCCTTTTATTCTTCCCGAGTTGGGATTGTACATCTGCTATTAGTGCATCCAACTTCACCTATAATTCCATACTAGATCATCACCCCGCATCATGTAAAGTGATAGACTATTTCAAATCTCAAATGCTTGATTGTTTATATTGTCGCAAAATGTAATTCTATTATCGCACCGCTCAGGATATATATATATTATGTTCAACTTAATCCACTCACTGTACATAAAATACACTCACAAAAACAATAGTATATAGCAAACACTAGCTGCGTTATATACAATTATTTATATATATTTATATATTTTATTGCTGTATTTTTTAAATTATATATATTACCTTCAAATTTATCAGCGCACAAGATCAATATTTGATCAGTCGATGTGTTCCCTGCTGCACTCAGTTTAGTGTTGTTTATGTGCTGTTGTATCAGTGATGGGAGTGTTGGAGTGTTTCTTCACTGGTCCTGCTGTCTGTCTAGGGACCCTTAGTAGTGTGTTTCTATAGTGAGGCACTGATGAGGATTCAGATAAAGGGATTCATCTTCCCGCCGGCACTGCTGTTCACACACACACACACACACACATCTGTTTCACACAGATAGTGACACACTTGACCCTCAGTGACCCGCAGGAAGTCGAACATATTCACACTCTCTCATCTCTCCTTCTCTCGTTCTCTGCTCTCAGATCTGTTTCTCGCCTCTTCTTTCCAAATATGGTTTGAAAAACTGATACATTTTTCATTTTTTATCTAATCTATTTTTCATTCTATTTTTAGATTTGGTTTTGTTCAAGTCGAACTGTACGAAACACTGATATATTAGAGTGTTAGTCTTAATGGGTACTTTTCTCTTCTCATTTTTCTTTTCTGTTCTTTTCTTTTATCTTTTTCATTTCATTTCTGAGATTTCTTTGTTTTTTCTCCATCTCTTTTTTGATTTTCTTCTTTTATTTTACTTTCTTTTCCATTATTATTTTTTCTATCATATATATATATATATATGTATATAGGGCTTTTAACAAAGTATTGTTCCAAAGCGGTTTTACAGTGATAATAGGAAATTAAAGTAACGGATTGTTTTGGCTTTATGACAGCTCTAGAATAAAGTTATTATTTTCCAGCTGAAGTTAGTTTTGATTGATTCTCTTCCATCGCAACAATCATTAGTTATTAGCTTAGGGGGCGCTAACACGACACTGTTTGAACAGAAAACTCTGAAGTTCTCTATACTCAAACTTCAAAAACGGGAACCCGTGAGAAAACAAATGGCGCGCATACGCGTATTAAGAGCCCACTCCACAGGTATGAGCGTTTGAATATATATAGTCCTTCCCTATAAAAAACAACCCTCAACAAACTAGTCAGGCCTTAAAAATTATAATACAGAATTTTTATGGGTTCGGCGTAGCCACGCGAACCGGAACTATCCCGACCACGATTATCTTTACAGAGGTGAAGGGAAGGAGGTCTTCACAGGGGAGGGACTAGTGACACTTCAGGAATGCGTTGTCGCCGTGTCCAGGCGCAGGTCCTTCATCAGATCTGGATACAGCCTGGATCCGGCGGACTGCGGTAAACCTCGGGATAAACAGAGAGACTAATATTAGCGTAGACGTCATCCATTTTATGATGTAACCAGTACATCAGGATTTGTGGGAAGTGTTCCCGGTTCCTCCTGATTTAATCTATGCAGCCTGTCATTGAATTATAGAACACTCTTAGAAGAAAAGTTTCTATATTAAAAGGTTCTATCAGCGCTATGTATTTGGAACCCCTAAAAGGTTCTATACACTCTTTAAAAAAGGGTTCCTCTGGGTTCTATATAGAACCCTGGGGTTCCATACTTGGGCAATAGAACCTTTTACCAAAAAAAAATGGTTCTATATAGAACCATTTTGGAGTTCCATATATGAAGCGGGGGATGGAACCATTTCTGGTTCTAAATAGAACCATTTCTTCTAAGAGTGAAGTCTACAGTACATTGTGTTTTGCGTATGCTAGGTCAAAGAGATGTGTTTGGAAGTAGGAAAGTCTGTTCCGAAGTTTTGGTGCTAAATAGGAAAAGGATCTCCCACCTGCAGTTGATTTTGATATTCTAGGTATTATCAACTGGCCAGAATTTCGAGATCGCAATAGACGTGAAGGACTATAATGCGTTAAGAGCTCGCTCAAGTACTGCGGAGCTAAACCATTCAGTGCTTTATAAGTAATCAGCAATATTTTAAAATGTATCTGATGTTTAATAGGCAGCCAATGCGCTAAAATGGTCATACTTCCTGGTTCTGGTATAAAGTCGAGTTTTGGTGTGTTCTGGACCAGCTGTAGTTTGTTTATTAAGCGTGCAGGGCAACCACCCAGTAGATCATTACAATAATCTAGCCTTGATGTCATGAACTCGTTAACTAACTGTAACGCATTTGTCAATGAAAGCATATGACGCAATTTAGATATATTTTTAAGATGAAAAAGTGCGGTTTTACAGAAACTATTCATGTGACTTTCAAATGAAAGATTGCCTCAAAGAGCACACCCAGGTTCCTAACTGACGACGAAGACTTAAAGGGATACTCCACTTTTTTTGGAAATGGGCTCATTTTACCAGTTAAACGGTTGGGTTTTACCGTTTTCAAATCCATTCAGTCGATTTTTTTATATTTAGAAGAATATCAGTAACCAGACAGTTTCTGGTCTCATTGACTCTCATAGTATATGTTTTTCCTACTATGGAAGTAAATGAGACCAGAAACTGACTGGTTATCGATATTCTTCTAAATATCAGAAAATCGACTGAATGGATTCGAAAACGGTAAAACTCAACTGTTTAACTCTAGGGGAGTGGTAAAATGAGCCTATTTCCAAAAAAAGTGGAGTATCCCTTTAACTGTGAAAGCTAATTCCATGTTTCCTAATGATATCTCCTAATGGTAGCATGTACAGAGTGAACAGCAGCGGCCCTAGTACTGAGCCTTGTGGTACGCCACACTGAACTTGTGATCGATAAGACATCTCTTTATTTACTGCTACTAACGCTCAGATAAGTATGATATAAACCATGCAATACCTCTAATGCCAACATAATTTTCAAGTCTATTTAAAATCATTTTTTGGTCAATGGTATCAATAACACAGTCTCATCCCAAGTCATCATCTAACTTTTGACCATACGTCAACATCCGCCTTTTTAGGGTACCCTTAAACGTCAGTTAGTTGACAATCCCGGGCCGTCATACAACTGACGCTTTACCTTTAACGTTGGTTAGGTGATGGGGTAGGTTTAGGTCTGGGGTAGGGTTAGGATCCGATAACGTCATCTAACCGACGTTTCCTTAAACGCCCTAAAAAGGCGTTGACGCATGGTCAAAAGACGTCCCAAGACGTCAGTTATATGACGTCTTGGGATGAGACTGCGCTGCCATCAACACTAAGATTAAGTAACACTAATAGAGAGATACAACCACGATCGGATGCAAGAAAAGATCATTTGTGGCTCTAATGAGAGCTGTCTCGGTACTATGGTGCGGTCTAAATCCGGGCTGAAGATCCTCGCAGATATCATTTCTTTCTAAAAAGGGACATAGTTGGGAAGATACTGCCTTTTATCGTGTCTTTGACAGAAAAGGCAGATTTGAGATCGATAATTGACTAATTCTGTCTCAGTTTGTGTTTTTTTTTAACAACTACAATATCCTTGTGACAAATATGAGTTAATTATATTGGGAAGGGGATCTATGACATCTGGAAGCATCTCTTTCATTAGTATAGTCGGTAAAGGGTCTAACATACAGTAAATGTTGTCAATTTAGATGATTTAACGAGTTTAGACAATGCACCCCCAATGCGATACTGTAATAAACGGTTGCATAGTTATAATCGTGTATAATAGTCGTATGTTTATTATGGATTTCTTTTCAGTACTCTATCCTTAAAGTGATTATAATTTAGACTTTCGGTCAGTCTAACTAGATATTCTCCTCATTTCTCATTTCTTCTCCTCTCGGCTCCTCTCACTCCTTCCTCTGGTTGTGTCTCTCGCTCTCTCTCTCTCTTCTCGGCTCATCTTCAGTGGTGTGGTCTGTTATATTTAGCGTCGGGCTCTCAGTGTCCTGGTAAAGGCATGTTCAGTGTATTGGGCCGGAGGTGCTGACAGTCTGATTTATTACCCCGTGTGTTCGTAGGCTGGGGCTCCAATCAGCTCAGTCCCACAGGAAGTTCACCACGCCCACTCCTCCTCACTTCCTGTCCCCGCGGGAACGTGACCTCACAATCCCCCGCTCAACCTCTAACCTGATTTCACTCACAAACTCACAAACATATTCCAGTTTAAATAGTTTTGCGAGTGACGGGAAATCAAGCCGTCTAACTCGAGCCTTCCCGTTCCGTCTCAAATTCACTATAACTCAAAACACAAAGTTTCTGTGCTGATTTTAAATGCGGCACGGCTTATCAATGCGAAACTCTCAGCATCTTGAAAGTGTGTGCTGTAGCGCCTCCCAGTGGAAAGCACTGCACGTTTGTGTTTGTGTGTGTGTCGGGCCGGAGAGTGTAAAACAGTGTCTGTTCTGGTTCTGACGCTCTGATTAATGTGTGTTATTAGCGATTTGCCTACAGACAAATGAGCTCCACTCCACCTCAGAGTCTCTGCTGATTATGATACAAGCGCCACATCCACACAATCTACACAAAGTGTTTCAAAACATAGAGATATGCATCTGAAGGCATCTTATGCACACTTTTGCACACACCCTGTGACAGATCCCTTTCAAAAGGGGTTTTGTACCTCTTGTTCTGAGAGAATTGATTTCGTGCATCCTTTGCTAGAATGCATTGAGCTCAGATTTTAAATGCATTGGAGATGCACGGATAAATAAATGCATGAATGAGTGTTTTGTGTTTTCAGGGCGGATACGCTGCGTACAGATACACTCAGCCTGCGACGGCCACAGCGTACAGCGACAGGTACGAGTTCACACTTGCACACACTCCTGATATTTAGGGTGGAAACACAGTTACTTTGTAGAAACCTCATGAGAACCCATCCAACTCAGAGCAAATGCAGTATTAAAGTGTTAGATTTAGTAAATGTATATTTTTTATTATATATATATATATATATATATATATATATATATATTAGGGCTGTGCAAAAATTAATTGCGATTAATCGCATCCAAAATAAAAATATCTGTTTACATAATATATTTGTGTGTGCTGTGTATAATTATTTTGTATATATAAATATCTATGCATGCATGTATATATTTAAGAATTATTTGCGATTAAATTCTGTATATATAAATACATAATCTATATTATATAAATATTTTATATATGAATAACACATTTTGTTCAATATATACATGCATGTGTGTGTATTTATATATACAAAATAATTATATACAGCACACACAAATATATTATGTAAACACAGACTTTTATTTTGGATGCGATAAATCGCAATTAATTTTTGCACAGCCCTAATATATATATATATATATTTTTTTTATTATTATTTTTATTTTATTTTATTCATAGCATACATAGCAGTGGTGCTGGAAGTGAAGCAGTGTTACCATTTTAGTATTATTTATATAGTATTTATTATAGTTTTTAATAATTATTATATTTTATTAATATAAATAGCATTTAGTTTTCATTTTTTTCATGTTTTAATATTTTTTATGTAAAATTGTACTATTGTTTTTGTATTATTGTTATGAGTATATATTACTATTTATTAATATAAATAAAATTTAGTTTATATTTTTAGTTCATTTTTTTATTTTAGTTTTAGTACTATTTATACTTTCACAATATTTATAGTATTATTTATTCTTATAATTATATTTTATATTGTAATTTCTGAAAACGAATTATATTAATTCATATTTTGAGTATTAATTATATAATTAGTTTATATTTTATTTTTTTTCCATTTGAGTTTTAGAAATGTCTTAATGTATTTTTTTTTTTTTAATTAATTAAATAATTTAAAAAAATACTTTCAGGTTAAGTGAATTTCTTGTATTCTTATTATTATTGGTTTTTTTTTGTGATTTTAGTATTTCTTTTAGAACACTCTAAAAAATGCTGGGTTGTTTCAACCCAAATTTGGGTCAAATATGGACAAACCCAAATGTTGGGTTAAAAATGTCATTTAAAATGTTAACCCAACTTCAACTTTCACTTTCAATAGTACATTTTTTAATGACATTTTTAAACCAAAATTTGGGTTTGTCCATATTTGACCCAAATTTGGGTTGAAACAACCCAGCATTTTTTAGAGTGAATTATTCTACTTTTTAGAACTTAATTCGTTTCAGCAACAATAACAACAGCATTTCTAATTTTCTACTTTCATTTTCATAAGTTGTTTCTCATCTAATATCATATATTTCCCCCAGCTTTATTTTGCTGGCGAGTCTGAGTGAGCCATTTGCTAATGAGGAGGAGAAATAAACATAATTCAAGACATTTCTCTGAAACCAAAAGCAGTTTTAATTTAACTTTTGCTTCTCGAGCAAATTTATGTTGCTATAAAGAGTGTTTGTATATTTTTACAGGAAAACAAGGCAATAATACTGATTATAGCGATTACTGAAATGATGTTTTGCGGTGTGGTGAAGTCAGTGTTGTGCTTTCAAAGCAGGTTTCTTGCCAATCCAGACTGAGTCAGCACACTCATCGTCCACACACACACACACACACACATTAAAGCACATGTATATCTCCTACTGTAAAGCTGCCCTTTTCTCTCTCTTTCTCCCTGTGTTTGAGTTGTTGCCCGTGGCCGAGGGCTTGTGTTTTCTTATCTGCTCTCTGCAGACATTCATTTGCAAGCCGTGTGAGGAGAAGAAGCAGAGAGTGGAATATGTGCAATATAAATGAAAGGAAATGACACGTGTTGTCCTTCCTGTGGAGGATTAGTTCCAAACCAGCAACACAACACGAAGCCTGCGGCGGCATCCCGTTCACTTCGTCTTCACACACCTCAGCCTTTCTTTCCCTCTTCTCAGCCTTTCTTTCCCTCTTTTCAGCCTTTCTTTCCCTCTTCTCAGCCTTTCTTTCCCTCTTTTCAGCCTTTCTTTCCCTCTTTTCAGCCTTTCTTTCCCTCTTCTCAACCTTTCTTTCCCTCTTTTCAACCTTTTTTTCCCTCTTTTCGGCCTTTCTTTCCCTCTTCTCAACCTTTCTTTCCCTCTTTTCAACCTTTTTCCTTCTTCTCAACCTTTCTTTCCCTCTTCTCAACCTTTTTCCTTCTTCTCAACCTTTCTTTCCCTCTTTTCAACCTTTTTTCCTTCTTCTCAACCTTTCTTTCCCTCTTTTCAGCCTTTCTTTCCCTCTTCTCAACCTTTCTTTCCCTCTTCTCAACCTTTCTTTCCCTCTTATTCTTGATTTGTTTAATTCTCTCGTCGTCTTTCTTCTTGTCATCTACCTTAGAAATATTAAAAAAGTCACAAAATTAGGTCACACTTTAGTTTAGGGTCCAGTTTTCACTCTTCACTATGACTTGTGCCTCAGTAAATAACTAATTACTGCTTTATTAATAGTTAAGGTATTTAAGTTTAGAATAAGGGATGTAGAATATGGTAATCCAGATTAATATGGGCTTTATCAGCACTATTAAACAGCCATTAGCCTAGTAATATGCATACTAATTAGCAAATAGTTAATAGTGAGAACTGGACTCTAAACGTAAGTGTGACCCAAAATAGTTTATGAGGGATTTTCAATAGAGCCCGACCGATACCGATACAAATATTTGTTGGTTTTAAAATCCGATATTCCGATATATCGGCCGATATATATATATATATATATATATATATTCAGAAACGCGCAACAAAACATTAACAGATTTCCCTAACATTAGTTATTTGTAGTTATTTATGAGTTTTTACTAAAATAATACGATAATGCATTTTAAAAAGAAACTTGTTTCTTTTTTTTCACAATACAACAGACTGATGATAGTGGCATTAGCTAGCTTTGTGTGCGTTTTTATTTCATTGTTGAAATATTCATTTATCGGCCATTATAACTGCCGATATACCGATAGTTTGGGAAATGCCTAATATCGGCCGATAATATCGGGTTACACTTTATTTCGATAGTCACTTTAGACATTCTACTAACTATAAGTAACTTTTCAACTACATGTCAACTAAGTGTCATTAGAGTATTAGTAGACTCTAGTAGACTGTTAGTTTAGGGTTAGGTGTTAGAGTTCAGGTTAGGAGAACAGGTTGACTTGTAGTTGCTAAGTTACTTACAGTCAGTTGAATGTCTGTTGGGGGACCAACAAAATAAAGTGTTAGCAGATATTAAGCTGACAGTCTACTAATACTCTAATGATAGTTAGTTGACATGTAACGGCAAAGTTACTTATAGTTAGTTGAATGTCTAAAGTGGACTATCAAAATAAAGTGTTACCCAATATTGGTCTGCCGATAATATCGGCCTGCCGATAATGACGGCCTGCCGATAATGACGGTCTGCCGATAATAACGGCCTGCCGATAATAACGGTCTGCCGATAATGACGGCCTGCCGATAATGACGGTCTGCCGATAATGACGGTCTGCCGATAATGACGGTCTGTCGATAATGACGGTCTGCCGATAATAACGGTCTGCCGATAATGACGGCCTGCCGATAATAACGGCCTGCCGATAATAACGGTCTGCCGATAATGACGGCCTGCCGATAATGACGGTCTGCCGATAATGACGGTCTGCCGATAATATCGGTCTGCCGATAATGACGGTCTGCCGATAATGCCGGTCTGCCGATAATGACGGTCTGCCGATAATGACGGTCTGCCGATAATAACGGTCTGCCGATAATGACGGTCTGCCGATAATAACGGCCTGCCGATAATGACGGTCTGCCGATAATAACGGTCTGCCGATAATGACGGTCTGCCGATAATAACGGCCTGCCGATAATGACGGTCTGCCGATAATAACGGTCTGCCGATAATGACGGTCTGCCGATAATAACGGTCTGCCGATAATAACGGTCTGCCGATAATGATGGTCTGCCGATAATAACGGCCTGCCGATAATGACGGTCTGCCGATAATAACGGCCTGCCGATAATGACGGTCTGCCGATAATAACGGCCTGCCGATAATGACGGTCTGCCGATAATAACGGCCTGCCGATAATGATGGTCTGCCGATAATAACGGCCTGCCGATAATGACGGTCTGCCGATAATAACGGCCTGCCGATAATGACGGTCTGCCGATAATAACGGTCTGCCGATAATATCGGCCGATAATAATGGTCTGCCGATATATCGGTCTGGCTCTAATTTTCAACAGGAATTTCTCTTATACAAGCTCAACTTCACTGCAGTTTCCAGCTAAAATGAATAAAACAGACGAGTTTTATTCCTCCTTACACAAATCATGATTACAGGGGCAGATTATTGAATAATAAAGAATTATTTTCATGCAAACTCATAACATTTATACATAAAAATGGGAGATTTGCATTTCATATTTGCTCTTGCTAACACAAGTTTAGGGTACACTGAACAAAAAAAATGGCGTAGAACCAAATTTTCACTCAGAAATTGCTGTCTGGTGTTGTGCAAGAGTGTTTCTTCATGTTAAAGCATCTCTTGATTCATGTTTGTGCAGTTATGGGAGAGTCTATGCAACCACTGACCCCTATCACCACACCATCGGCCCGGCGGCCACATACAGCGTGGGGACCATGGTAAGATCAACACACACACACACTCGAACTGTTTCCCGTGATTACGAACCCTTGTTTCCCTCATCTGAGCCAGGAGTGTTCAGCGTGTGTTTCTGTGACGAGGAAGTCAGTCGGTTAATGTCTGTTTTTAGCTAGCGTTTGCAGCTAACATCAAAGATGAAGGCACTAATGGGCCGTCAGAGTGAGCAGAGCCGTCGTTTGCTCTCCATTTCCCCCAAATTAACGAGAACGGTAACGCATACAGCAGTGTGCCGTGGGACAGGCTCGACTAAAGCACGGATGGTTCATTTTTCAACCACCTCTCTCTATCAGAAAGAGGAAAAAAACACTTATTTGGCACTCCGGCATGCGTGCGGTCTCTCACCGACGAGGACGTCAGCGAAACAAATGAAAACTAAATTAGCACGAGAAGCAGTGGACAGTTCCCCGGTGCAGCTGCTAGCTAAAAGCTTTCATTAATTAAGACGCTTTGTTTGAAACTCATTCATTTGCTAAATTAACTTTTCCTGAAATCCTGCTTCCCTGCAAAACTCCTTCCTTGTTTCTTCCTCAACAGTGAGAAGCAGAAAAGCCCCGGCTCTGTTCCAAAACACAGTGAGCGGCCCGTCTAGTGCGCACAGAGACAGCTTGTTAGCATTGAAAACCAGTAGACGGCGCACAGTTTTACACTTTTAATTCGAATCAGCACCTTAAAAAGTGTTAAAATTGTCCTTTTTATATATCAAATTGACCTTTTCATTGATTGATGTATTACAGTTTCTCTCTGTTCTTCCACCAGTTTTAATAGATTTTTTTTTGTTGTTGCAATGCATTCTGGGATTGTACATAAAGTTTATTTTGTTCCTCTGTGTTTTTTTTTTTTGACTCGTTTTCCATTTCAAATATCTAAAAATTCTTGATGCTTTCACTCAAGACGCAAAATGACATGAAATAAAAATAAATCAAGTGAGATTATGTTTAAAAGGAGAACAATTATCTGCAAATTGACTCAGAAAATACTCTTTTTCCCTCTGAATTAAGTGTTTTTCTTCTTTCTCCACTGGCAGATTTTGATCTTTCTTAATTTTGATCAGTTTCTCCAAAAAAATATATTATTATTATTATTATTATTATTATTATTATTATTATATATATTATATATTATATATAATATTATTATTATATATTATTATTATATATATTTTTTATATATATATATATATATACATATGTTTCTCAAATAAATATATATATATATACTATATATATATATATATATATATATGTTAACTTTTATTTTTAATATGGTAAATAGGTAATTGAAATGCAGATAAGTTAAAATAGAATATAAATCAAATTAGATGGAAAAACTTAAAGTTATTGTTAACTATTAAAAATCATTTTTGTTCATTGAAGTAAAGCTGAAATAAAATATAAATCAAATTAGATTAAAATAATAATAAGTTAAAGTAAAGTCTATGAATAAGTTCAAACTAAAACAAATAAAAATAAATAGAAATTGACAACAAAAGCACATAATACAATTACTAATATACTTAAACTTAAATTAAATAAATGAAAATAAAAGCTAATTCAGAATAAATGAAAACTGATCTTAATTAAAGAATATTTCGATTTTAAAAAGCCTTTGATGTCTTATGATGCTGTCTAGTTAGGGTGCTCACTAGGTTTTGGAACAGACCCACACCACTTGTCCATTTCAGTGTGTGTGTGTGTGTGTACTGATGCAGAAGAACCTGAGAACTCCAGATTCACAGAGCAATGAACCGATCCCTCATCTGTCAGAGAAAGAGCACTTTGCTGTTTTTGGCTCTTTCATCATAACTGATTAACGGCGGCGCGAGATGGCGGAGCTTTTTGCTTTTAAAATTCCTTTAATAATTAGTTCCTCTGAGGTTGCATTAAATTCTCTTTGCTGCTTTTCCCAGCGTCATGAAATTGCAGAGGGCTTCCACCCGAGCCGGCGAGCGGGTTCCCCTCAAATTAGGGAGAATTACCCTTTGAAGGTCTGGAGTAAATCACGCGTACGGTCCGGATCACGGGGTGTGTGAGACCAGCGCTCGCCTGCGAGATTTATACGTGCTCAACTTTAAAGAGAATAATTGTACTTGCCTTTGAACAGCATCCACATTAATTTGATGTATCATAGTTCGAGCTCTGTGATGCTTTCAAAGGCGACGATGCCATTTCTGCACAATGCGGGGAGAAGATTGCTAGTTAGTGACTCTGTAATGAGATCGCGAACACACACACACACACCGATCACGCGCGACCCCTTGATCTCACGATTAATAACGTGAACTTTTGAGAGAAGTTGTTTAAATCTGAGTTCTCAGAGTTCAGGATCAGAATTGTGTCGCTTTTCTATTCTGTCTGCATCAGCATTAGTAAACACACACACACACACACACACAGTCCCACACATCAATGCCGTTTAAAGTGCAACAGTGCCGCCCACTTTTCAGTGCTCTTGGTTCCTGGAATTATTTCTCCCATTCATTTTCCCCATAGGGAGTCAAAAAGTCATGAGTCATGAACCACAAACTTTGATTTGGAGCAAAAAAGGATTTGAAAATTATGCACTGAAGTATGAAAGTCCATTTATGCCACAAAAACTAAAAAAAAAAACATAAGTCAAAATTACGAAATGCTTAGTCAATTATGAGACAAAGCCAAATTATGACCTTAAAAGTCATAATTATGACAGATAAAATTATAATTTACGTTACAATTATTACATATTGAGTCAACATAATAAGATTTAACAGTCAAAATTGTGATTTAAAACTTAATTATGGGATTAAAAAGTCATGACATACTAAATTTAAATTATGAGACTAACAAGTCAAGTGGTAATTATGAGATAAAAGTTTAAATTATGATACAAAAAGTCAAAATTATGCCATTCTGCTTAAATTGACAAATCAGTCGTGAAATAACAAAACACAATTATGACATAGTCATAATTATGATATAAAAAGTCATAATTTTGACTTAGTATGTCAATTTCGACCTAGAAATATAAATAATACAATTGACTTATGTAATGATTAACGTCATTATTTTGACTTTTATGTCGCAATTGATATTTTGTTTTTGGCAGTGTCATAATTTTACTTCTTTTTAAAATTTACTTAAATGACTTGTGTCATTATAACGTCGAATAATAAAGTCGAAATTGACTCACTGCCGGAGATATTATGAGATAAATGATAATGAGATGACGTCATAATTTCAACAGTTTGTCAAAAAAATATCATGATTGACTCGTCAAAATTGTCATCATTTCCATTTATGTCATAATTGACTTTTTAAGTCAGTTTCGACAGTGTCAATTTCAAATTTCTGTCATGGTTTGACCTTTTTATCTAATAATTATCACCATTTAAGACGTAATGTCAATTTAAACTTGTGTCATAATTATGACTTATGTCAATTTTGTCCTAGTCTGTTATAATTTAGAATTTTTGTCATAGTTATGACACTTGATGTCATAATTTTGACATTTGAGGTCATAATTTTGACATTTGATGTCATAATTTTGACTTTTGGTGTCATAATTTTGACTTTTGGTGTCATAATTTTGATTTTTTATGTCATAATTTTGACATTTGAGGTCATAATTTTGACACTTCATGTCATAATTTTGACATTTGAGGTCATAATTTTGACATTTGATGTCATAATTTTGACTTTTGGTGTCATAATTTTGATTTTTTTTTCTATGTCATAATTTTGACATTTGAGGTCATAATTTTGACACTTCATGTCATAATTTTGACATTTGAGGTCATAATTTTGACTTTTGGTGTCATAATTTTGACATTTGAGGTCATAATTTTGACATTTGAGGTCATGATTTTGACTTTTGATGTCATAATTTTGATTTTTTTATGTCATAATTTTGACATTTGAGGTCATAATTTTGACTTTTGGTGTCATAATTTTGACATTTGAGGTCATAATTTTGACATTTGAGGTCATAATTTTGACTTTTGATGTCATAATTTTGATTTTTTTATGTCATAATTTTGACATTTGAGGTCATAATTTTGACTTTTGGTGTCATAATTTTGATTTTTTATGTCATAATTTGAAATTTGAGGTCATAATTTTGACTTTTGGTGTCATAATTTTGATTTTTTATGTCATAATTTTGACATTTGAGGTCATAATTTTGACTTTTGGTGTCATAATTTTGATTTTTTTTTATGTCATAATTTTGACATTTGAGGTCATAATTTTCACTTTTGGTGTCATAATTTTGATTTTTTTTCTATGTCATAATTTTGACATTTGAGGTCATAATTTTGACACTTCATGTCATAATTTTGACATTTGAGGTCATAATTTTGACTTTTGGTGTCATAATTTTGACATTTGAGGTCATGATTTTGACTTTTGATGTCATAATTTTGATTTTTTATGTCATAATTTTGACATTTGATGTCATAATTTTGATTTTTTATGTCATAATTTTGACATTTGAGGTCATAATTTTGACTTTTGGTGTCATAATTTTGACATTTGAGGTCATAATTTTGACTTTTGATGTCATAATTTTGATTTTTTTTATGTCATAATTTTGACATTTGAGGTCATAATTTTGACTTTTGGTGTCATAATTTTGATTTTTTATGTCATAATTTTGAAATTTGAGGTCATAATTTTGACTTTTGGTGTCATAATTTTGATTTTTTATGTCATAATTTTGACATTTGAGGTCATTATTTTGACTTTTGGTGTCATAATTTAGATTTTTTTTTTATGTCATAATTTTGACATTTGAGGTCATAATTTTGACACTTCATGTCATAATTTTGACATTTGATGTCATCATTTTGATTTTTAATGTCATATTAACTTTCTTATGTAGCAGAAATGGGCTTCCATACTAAAAAGTTATTTTGGCGTGACCCTAACCAACGTAATCAATCTTTCATATTTTTCTTCTCTGTGGAAAGTCATAGAAAATCCATCATGGATTTTTCCTTATCTTTTGACATTTGCAAAAATAGGAACACAAAAATTATATTTGTAGTTATTACTGTTAAAAACTATACAATATGACGATTTCTGAGAACCCTGGAAATGTGAAAAGTGGACATTTCCTTGCAGAATCATGGATAAACTTTGTAAAACTCACAACTTTATGGGTACAGCAGCTTTCCACTGGGGCAGTTCCCAATCAGGGACGACTTTATGTTCCTTATTTAGCCTTAAATGTCCATAGTAGCACCCTACGAGTACATATCACTACTCTGAGGCGCTAAAGACAGTTCCCCAATGGAGAAATGAATGTGATGTTCCCCATGGAACCCTGTGTATTCTAAAGGAAGGATTTTTGCGGGAGCAGGATTCCGCCGTTGCCGTGGCCACTAGCTTGACTCTGATTGGTGCTCTGTCATCTTTGATGTTGCAGGCAAGCCTGTACAGAGGAGGCTACAGCCGCTTCACGCCCTACTAGAGACTAAAGCACTGATCACACAAACTCACATCTCAAAACCACTACACACACGGACTCCCATTTACTAAAACGCTTCCGGGTCAGCCGATGACCTCATCCAAGACGGCCCGACTCTGTGGACCTCGTGGAAATCAATGGGGGAAATCGGAAGAGCAGCTCATAAATGTGGATTGACTTTTTCTTTCAGACGTGGCGTTTGTGTTTGGTGGTTTGAACGGGAAGCTGTTTTTAGATTTAGTTTGGCTTGGGTCTGTGTTTCATCATTGATTGGGTGTATTGTGTGTGTATAAGCTGCTAGTGTGAATTCAGACTCATGAGACAGATATATCTCAGGACTCTCTTGAACACACACACCCATCCCAGCAGACATTCGGATTCAGCGTCTCTATCGCCAGCATTACTCCAGTCTGATGAAGCTTTAGTTTGAAGGGTTTCTATGCGTGTTGTTCCTGAGATGAGAGGATTCGTCCCTCTCACGTTTGCACTAACAGACTTACCTCTGTACACAGCGGACAGGTTTAACTCACACTAACTAATGCTGAACGGGTGTGTGTGTGAACATGGGCGTTAATATGTTAAAGATTAAACCGTCATTTAATATATATGCAAAAATTGCATAATGTAGTTTTAGAGGTTAATAGAGAGATAATATGTAGACAGAAAGGATTTAAAGAAAAAAAACATGGATAAATATTTAAAGGAGATTTATCTAGACATTTCGGATATACAGAGAAATTGAAAAATAATAATACATATTTAGACTTGTATAAGGGGACATTGGGGAGGTTTATGGACATATTGTGAGGAAAAAATAATTAGATTTGAGAAATTATGCAAGCAGACATGGAGAGGTTTGAGTAGATAAATGATGTATGGGAACACAAGGGGAAATAGTCAAAATGATGACATTAAGTTGTAATTATGGCTTAAAAAGTGATATTATGAGATAAAAAGTTGAAATTATGACACAAAAAGTCAAAATTATGACATTCTATTGAAATTTAAAGTCACTTGTGACATAAAAGATTAAATTGTGAAGTCATATATATATTTATATATGTATTTTTTTTTTTACTTTTTGACTTTTTGGTCTGTCAATTTCAACCTAAAAATACAAATAATGAAATTTACTTCATAATTTCGATTTATGTCATCATTTTGACTTTTATCACAATTGACATTGTTTCGCTTTAATCTCATGATTATCACTCTTTAAATCATGACTATGTCAATTAATATGTCTATTAATTAATATTATGTCTATTAATATGTCAATTTCAACTTGTGTCATAATAATGACTTTTTATACCAATTTTGACTTTTTTTTCCTCATAATTATGACTTAGTATGCCATAATTTAACTTTTTATGTCATAATTTTGCCGTTTTATATCATAATTTTTTTCTTATGTGACAGAACTGGGCTTCCATACTCAAGAGGGCTTTTAGGGCGATTCTGACGCAAGGAGAAATAAATAGTTTTAAGAAAACACACAGATATATACAGCGAGTCATAGGAAGTTGTAAAGAGAGAGAGTGATGTGAGGAGAGCATCTGCTGAGAGTTTAATGTGTATGAGATCAGAGCGAGCGCAGAGCACACTTTACACGAGATTTAGAAGAAACTCTCAACATTACAGTTCGGAGCTCGAACGATATGATGCGTCCGACTGAATCCATATCTTACATGTGCTGTGAAAGACGTGAATCATATAATCAGGGCTCTATCCTGATGAAACTGAAATTTGAGAGACACGACTCATACAGAAGATGTCAAATTAACACTGTTTACACACAAGCATATCAGCTGAATCTTTCACTCTTGAAAATCAAGGTTCTAAATGGAGTTTTCGCAGTGATGTCACAAGGGGATTTTTCACACTTTTTCACACCAGGTGTTATACTTTATTTTCCCCCTGGGCATTCCCCTCCTGCTTGTATTCGCAATGTCCTGAGATGTGAGATTTATGTTTTTTTTTTTTGTCTGGAAAAAATCGCCATTTTGCGTCATCTGAGGATTTTGTGTCCAGAGGCTAAAGACTACAGTCAGTAGTAGCGTCTGTCCCGCATGTCCTCAACTTGCCCATAGAGGGCGATCTCACTCACAGAATGAACACATAGTGTCGGCCATCTTTGTTTGGAAGCTAAGCTAGCAGGCTCTTGTTCTGTGGAGAAAGCTTTTGCTTTCTGCAGTCGCCATTCGCCATTGTTTACATGCACAGCTTTTGTTTCGATCTAACTGAATTCATTCTGATTGGTGAATCTGAATATAGTGTTTACATAAAAGCTAAACAAGCGATCGGTTGAAGTGTGCTTTTTAACACACATCAACCTCGCTCCTCCGTGAGCGATACGAGACCGGTGCGTCTTACATCGGTAATCACGCCACCGGCCTCGTGCCGTTCTCCCGGTGTTTCATATGGCATGTGTTCGGCCAATCAGAGTGCGCTTACGTCACTGTATAGGTCCTATTGTTCTGGGTTAGAAGTTAGACTCTCCAAAATAGTCCTATTACTAAAATCATTCCCAGTTCCAGTAGTGCGAACACGACAAATATCATGTAGTTATAGACCCTTTTACAGTTGGTAAACATGGTGACGTTTTTTTGTGGGCGGAGCTTAGGTGGAGGCAGAACGATCCATCTGGCCGCTTCACTAACGCTAGTTAGCAAGTTTTATTAGCTTGTTTTTTAACAATGACTGGAGAAAATCCGATATTATCTTAATGTGTAAGGTCACCCAGTGTCCAGGACCGCGATTGTTATTTCCAAAAGTTATTTTTAACGGACAGAACCAGATTGGCCGACCCGTAGCCGCCTACACGCTCACTCATGGACGATCTGACAGGATTAACGTACGTTACCTCGGTTGAGTGGCCTGACTTCTACACCTACCTTATAGAGAAACCGATCGTAAAGAGAAACTGAGGGCATATAAATGTTTAGATGCCTATATGGTCCTGTACAAGACTTGTGTGTACGATCCGCAGTTCTGCCGAGACCACGACAATGTAAATAGTGACATTACAGTGCGATTTTAATGATGTGAATATTTTCTAGAAATAAAAGTTCCAGATACAGCATTTTCATTTTTCATCAATTCTTGCACCAAACAACACAACAAGATGACATTTAATAATAGTAACAATTATTTAAGCTCCTTATTATGTAGCCGAATCTGTGCTGTTTTGTATTGTTTTCACTTTGTTTTGCCTCCAGCTAGCGCCGTGACGTAACTGTGACGTCGGCGCAAAAGGGGTCTATCCACAAGTTTCCTACGCCCCATGAGGCCTTGCGTCAAAAGTGGGCGCGACTTCCGGTTGGAAGTAAACAAAGCGCGATTTGACATGCTTGACGCTCGTTCATTCAACAGTTGACAGTCATTCAAGTTATAGCGATCCAAACTAGCTAACGATGTGGGAACGCAACCTCAACGAAATTAAAAAGGGTGAAATAACAGTACCTTTACCCTCCGCAGTAGTTGATTGGGAGTATTATAATAACGTTATTAATAATCAATACTCATCAAGGCATGGTGACAGACAGTTGTGCGAGCTGACAAACAATTAAAATAAAAAATACACACTTAGTCATTGTGCTTTGGAGTTTATTCAAAATTATAAATGAATGTGCTGCTTGAATACATTAACTGGCACATTTGGTATTCTGTCAACACAGGCTTTGATCCTGAGTTTAGCTGTAACATCAGTAGAGAACAGCCAATCACATGCTGATAGAGTTTATAGAATATTAAGAATTTAAACAAATGTACACAGGAAGATTCGTCGTCTTTTGGGAGGTGATGGAAACTACGGTCGTTGGCAGGATCAGAGACGGGCTCTAGCAGGATCACTCTGATTTCGTTTTCGGCTTATTTTCAAAACAATCACGTTTAAGCCACTGAACTAGTTTAGTCCGGTTATACATACAACCGCGAACAGCACATGTTGTCCCTGAGCTCCGTAACGACATCTCTCATAAAGATTTGCGTCTTTAAATAGTAAAATAATTCTCCGAAAAACAGCTAGCCTCTTCGCTAACTAACACACAAAATACCATTGGAATGCTACTTCCGCCGCGTCACCGGAAGTTTCACCCGCTTTATTTTTTACAGGAGCGCCCCTCGGAAACTTGTGGATAGAAACTATGAAAACAGTTCGAGAACCCCTAGAGAAGAACCGTTTTCGGTTCCACAGATAATCTTTCAGTGATCAGTTCTTAAAAGAACCATTTTGTTTTCTCTTAGAGTGAAGAACATGTTAACAATGTAAAGAACCTTTTTCCAATATTGAGAATCTTTTGTGGAATTGGAAGACGTTTAAGATTCTTAATGGAATCATCGTTGCCAATAAAGAACAGTGATTTTTAACCCTTTATGAGTTTTTTCCTAAAACGTTCGATTTTGATATCTTAAAAGTGATAAAAGATAGAGACTTTCTGTAAATTAGAGAAATATTAAGGATGACCCAAAGTTCATGTAGGGATTACATTCTAATTTGCATAATATCCCGTCTAATTTGCATGTTATGACGTTATATGGAGGCGGCAATCTTGGATTATAGAATTTTCATGAAAAGTCACGTTTAAATGATAAAATGCAGCACTTCTTTCCCCCCAAAATGTCCATCACCAAACAAACTGTGTGAATCATTACTAATAAATGGTAGAAACTATATGTGCTCCATGTTTGGGGCACATATATATTACTCATATGACATACTGTACACACACAAGTAGACAAGACCTGTTTAGTTCAAAAGCTCACTCGCCACGGCAACGAGCAGCACGAGCAGCGCGGCCAGATATGCCTCGAGTGTGTACAGCTCGGACTACTGTCATTGTGACTCCCCAACCTGTCTCCACGTCGCCCCCTAACTGTCCTATGAATACTTCGACCTCATTTAACATACCCAGTGGTATTAGATATTAATATATTCGTATATTAAGTCTCCACCACAATACTGTCGCCGCGATTGCGGAGAGGCTCTGATAAAATGGCTCACTCGCACACTAGCTCTCTAACTTGAATATTTTGTGTATAAACATGACGTTTTTTGAGTCCAGGATGAAGTATGACATGTCTGCCATCTAGTGGAGGGGAGGTCGAATTAACTTTGACACCCAATTTTAAAACAATTTGACAAAAAGAGTGTTAAAAACAACCCCACACCATAATCCCCCCTCCACCAAACTTTAAACGTAGCACAATGCAGTCAGGCAAGAATTAAGAACATCTGATTAATTTGTTTCTTTTCTACACTGTAAACCCAAATAAGTCTGTGACATTTTTTTTTAATTGAGGCAATCAGTTATACATATAAAAAGTAAGTTAAGAAATTCAAAGTTTAAGTAAGCAGAACTGGCAGATTTTTGTTTTGTACTCGTACATTTGAATTCCTCTCACTTAAAATTATGACGTAATCTCAACTTAATTCTCAAACCAAGCTCCCGCTCAACTTGTAGAATCATTTGTGGAACGGGAAGATTCCATGGATATTAAAGATTCTTTATAAAACCATCGATGCCAATAAAGAACCTTGATTTATAAGAGTGTAAGAACATCTGATTTCTATTCGTCTTTTTTATTTCCAAATTTGCTGCAGCTTTTTTTCCATCTCTTAAAGTCACGTTAATCAATAACTTTATAAAGCCGGAGCTCTTTATATAGAGTTTACATCTGTCGGTTTATGACCAACCAAAGTAAGAAAATTGCATTGAAGGAAAAGAATAGTTTACAATCCTGAACGACAGTATATTCAGGTGTCCAGCAAACCTCCCTCTCTGTATTCCCTGCACTTTTCTTCTGCTTTGACCTGTTAATGCTGCTGATGTTCAACCAGAAAGAGCCTCTGTAGATGTGAAAGATGTAAATTGTAGTTTATTATTTCAACTGTGTCGACTCGCATTACTGTACAAAGAACCAGCAGATGGGTTTAAACTATACACGACATGTATGTGCTTATTGTTTTGATATACTGTATTATTAAT